GTATATTTTGGAAGAACAGAGAAAGAGCAGTCCCGAGGTTAGAGCAGTATTTTCCTTAATTGTGACATTTTGGCTTGATGAGTGTAGGCATTTAGAGGTTTGTGGAGTCCAACACTCTGTTTTGTTAAGAAAAAGGGGAGGGGCAGGCATGGGCCCCTGTACTAGAAGTTCCCGGGAACACTGAGTAGTGGCCTGTGGAGTAACATTGTAAACTGAGAGAGGGAGGAGAAGTGAGCCCTGCAGGGGGGCACAGAGAAAGCAAGTGGAGACATTAGCATCAGAGAAGTTTCTCAGGAGATTAACTGATAAAGTGAGAATGCGGTCCCAAGAGGTATTATATATACTATCTATAGTTGCTTCTCGGCTGTGTGGTTGAGACCAAATGTCTCAACACAGCAGATGTAAGACCAGAGGACCTGGGGCAGGAAAGGGTGCTTGTAAAACAAAGGAAACCACTGCTCCCTGGGGCATCGAACAGGAGTTAAGAATTGTTAAACTTGCCAGGCATGGTAGCACACACCTTTAATCCCAGCAATCCCAGCACTCAGGAGGCAGAGGCACGAAGACCTCTGTGAAATTCTGGCCAGCTTGGTCTACATAGTGAGTTCCAGGTCAGCTGGGGCTACAGAGAGACCCTGTTTCAAAAAAAAAAAAAAAAAAAAGGAGTAAAATTCTACTAAAATCGGTTGGGGTGGGGTAAAGAGATGGCTCAGCAGTTAGGAGCACTGACTGCTCTTGTAGAGGACCTGGGTTTGGTTCCTAGCACCAACAAGGAGTTTCACAACTGCCTGTAACCCCAGTTGTAAGGGACCAGACACCCTCTCCGGCCTTTGCAAGAACCAGGCATGCACATGGTGTACATACACTCAGGCCAACACTTATACACAACAAATAAAATTAAAAATATTTTGTTGGGTTTTTTTGAGACAGGGTCTCCTTATAGCCTTAGCTGACCTGGAACTCACAATGTAGACCAGGATGGCCACCATCTCACACAGATCCACCTGACTCTGCCTCTAGAATGCTTGGATTTAAAGGCATGCACCACCATACCCAGTTTAAAATTTAAAACAAAAAACAAGGGGCTGGAGAGATGGGTCAGCGATTAAGAACACTGGCTGTTCTTGTAGAAGACCTGGGTTTGAATCCCAGCACCCACATGGCAGCTAACAACTGTCCATAACTCCAGTCCCAGGGGATTCGACAGCCTCTTTGTCCTCCGTGGGCATTGTACGACATGAGTGTATTTACCTACATGCAGGCAATACATGCATTAACATAAAATAAAAATAATAAATAAAAAATTAAAGTAAAAAAAAAAACCTAAAAATCGGTTGTGTTCTTATTGTAATCATTCCAACCTGAAGTTCATTTTCTGGTAAATAAGCAAAGGCATTTCGGATTGCGGTGCCCTGACCAGGATGTTGGACTCTCCATTGAAGGCCTGGCTATCTTAAGCAAAAGGAGCGTCCCTGAAACATCCAGCCAATCCCGTGTGCCGGCACTAGCCGTTTTGAGTGTCCCACAGAGCCTTAGGAAAGCACGATTAGAGCGATTACAGCGAATGCTTTAGCTCCTGAAGGTGCGGCCTCAGCCAGGATTGGCTGAAACGGTTTATACCAGACCGTTTGCTACCACAAATAGCCTGGGGGAACTCTAAGTAACCGTGCAACTATTTCTACTTTAGCCAGCGGAAGAGCAGTCCCCTCCGGTAGCCCGGCAGAGGGATTGTGTGATTGGTGAAAACGAATCTTCATTTGCAAGTGGAGTTTACTGTGATTAGTGCACACGCCCCTGCTCTGGCCAGTTAAACAGGCTGCGCAGTTCACTTGGTGAAATGATGGGAACTCCCCTAACACCTCCCACCTCTTGCCTCCCCAGTGTTGAACATTAGACCCAATGAAAGGCTTCTCTCTGATGACCTTTTATTGCCTACTTTTAGCAGTGCAGGCTGAGCTGGTAAGAGGAAGGAAGCAGCAGGTGGTGAAGCAGCGGGAGGTGAGAAGAGTGGCCCCGGCCGGAGCGAGGAGGGTGACAAGTGCCGAGCGTTGGCGAGCTGAGGCCTGAAAATAAAAACTATGTATGCCGTGCTTGCTGGAAGAGGTTCCAGGAGCTGTCAGGTCTTTAGGGTTAAGGGTCTGAGACACCCTGGTTCCCAGAGCCGCAATAATACTTCTGCCAAGGCTGAGGAACCCCGACTTTCCATGCCTACAAAGAGCTGTACTATTTATAGAGCTAATATAGGCTTATATAAGAACTATATATTCATCCAGCTAAGGGTCCTGCTACCCCAGGCCTGGCTAAGAGCCGCAACACTAGAGCCACGTGCGGCCGTGCTCACCGGCCTGCTGGCACCACTCTGCTGTGTCAAGTGGTCAGGGTACAAAACCCACCAGAGGAGCACTTAAGGAGCTAACGCTCCCAGATTCCCGGGTGCTCTGCTGTGTCTAGCGCTACCTTGCTTGTCCCTGAGAAGGGAGGGGCCTGCTGAGCTGCAGCGGAATGGGACACAGCCGCATTCACCAAGGCATAAGAAACAGCCTGGCCTGCTTCACTGCTGAGCAGCCCTAGGCAGCCACCCAGAACAGCTGTTCGGGCAGAGATAGGAGGAAGATGTGGTCCTCAGTCTAACCTGCTTCAGGGAAAACACCCAACTCTCCCCACATGTGTGGCTTCTGCGTTATTGAACAAGCCTCTGAGCGTTTGCTCCATGACCCCGTTTGCCTCTTTCAAGGCGTTGTGTAACGGGGCGGGGCTTTGGCGTTGCTGCTGTCAGTGGTAGCCAAGAGTAGGGCTTAGGGCATTGCAAGGTGTGCGGGTCGCGTTGTGTAACGGGGCGGGGCTTTGGCGTTGCTGCTGTCAGTGGTAGCCAAGGCTGGAGTAGGGTGAGGGGGAGCCAGACCTCCGAGAGTGAGACCCTAGAACAAAGGGAAGGGGCTGGAGGGGGCTCTCCAGTAGCTCGGCAGAGAACGCCGGTTCTCAGCACGCATATCCGGTGGCTCACAACCCCCTGTAACTCCAGTTCCAGCAGGATCTTAGGTCCCCATCTGACTTCCTCCAGCACCTGCATGAACATGATGCACATGCCTACAGTCACACACAAAACAAAGTCTTTTTTAAAAAAAAAAAAAGAATAAAGGAACTAATATGAACGGGGCAAGGTTGCGCCTGCCTGTAATCCCAGCACGTGGGAAGAAATAAGAGGAGGAGGAGGAGGGGAAGGGAGAGAGGGAAGGAGAGGGAAGGAAAGGAGAATGTGGATGTTATCAGTCCTTTCTCAGATGAAGTTATCTCTAGATCTCTACTCTCTCCCTAACCCTTCCAGATTGATACAAGGCACCTCAGATCTCAGTTTTGCTGGGCATGGTGGGGCGTGGTGGTGCACACCTTTAGTCCCAGCACTCAGGAGGCAGAGGCAGGCGGATCTCTGTGAGATCTAGACCAGCCTGGTCTACAGAGTGAGCTCCTGGCCGGCCTGGTCTACACAGTGAGTTCCAGGCCAGCTGAGGCTACAAGGAGACCCAAACCCCCCTGTGTTTCCTAATCTGTAAGACAGGGAGAAAAACGTCTTGTTGCAGGCTTCCCTGCAGGAGCAGGGCGTGCAGGCCTGCTCAGACGCTAACTATGGTTATAGACCCCAAGGCCCAGCTCCCTCCCCAGGGACTCGGGACTCCAACCCCGCTGCCCCGGTCCCCCGCTCCGCTCTGCACCTGGGGCTCGGTCCCTCCGCCTCCAACCAGAGACGACCAGCCGCGGCAGGGCTCTGGCCAGAACTACATTTCCCAGCAGCGCCCGCGCGGGCCCGGTGAGGCAGGAGCCGCGCATGCGCCGAGCGCCGTTACGCCTAGTCCGCGGCGGCGGCTGTGAGCTGGCTGCTCCAGCGGGTAGCGGTCCCTGGGTACCGGCGGGGGCCATGATCCGGCAGGACCTCTCCACGTCCTACCAGGAGGTAGGCGGGCGGGGCGGGCTGCGGGGACGGCGGGGGGACGCGGACGGCCCGGGGCGTGCGGCGGCGAGCAGGTGAATGATTGACACCTCCTGGGCTAGCGGCCGGTGCAGCAAGTCCCGCGGTCCCCGCTGCGGAGTGACCGACCGTGGTCACTTCGCGCTGCACGCCCGTCTCCCCACGACTCTGCCGAGCACTTTCCGGCCCTTTGTCTCCGGCGGAGCCTCGGACGTAGTGCTCGGGTCCCCCGGCCGTGGTCATCTTCCGCTCCGGGGCTTCCCTGGGGCCCTTCACGCGCCATGGCCAGGCGGGTCCAGGTCCTTGGCCCCGGCAGCTTTGCGCCCCTGGGTCTGACCGCCCAATGAGGCCGTGCTGCCCCCTCCAGCTTTGACCCCACGGCGTGCTCTCTTCCTGGACTTGATGCTGCCCTCGTCTAACCCGAGCAGTCCTCGCATCTCAGCATCCCTGCAGCCCGCTCCACCCGCGGAGGCTCTGGCCACACCGGGACACTTGCGCTCTCCAAAGGAGTTGTTGGTGTGTAGAGTGTGCTGAGCTCGGTGCCTTGTTGAGCTGGTGATCCCTCTGAGTTATGGGGTGGGGTGGGGTGAGGTCCTGCTCTTGAGCGCTTTGGGGTCCTGGGGCTCATTGACACAACCAGTATCGCCTCACCTAGCAGAGCTCATAAGACAAATTACTCAAGTACAAGCACCTTCCTGCTTGCAAGGAAAGGCCCCAGGTAGTCAGGTGTGGGTTGGGGCATTCCGGATGGGGGAGCCCCCCCCCTTCTTCGTGTTCTGAAGTTCTGAGAAGACTACCCAATCTCTGGGATTGGCCTGCTTCGGCCTTGCCTGGAACATTCTGAGAGAGGGTGTGGTTTTGAGTTAGGTGCCTGGAGGGAGCGGGGAGGATGGAGCAGACTAAAAATTGTGGCCAGGGGTAGGTAAGGTGGCGGGGTGTTATGACTGCTGGGAGCTAGGAAGCCAGCTGGGTGGGAGGACCCTGCCACCTGGGTCAGGGTGAAGTTGGGCAAGGCTTGTATCTTGCAGGACCAGTGTCTGCCCTTGGCTAGCCAGACTTCAGGTCCTTACTGGTGGGCATCTCACCCTCTGTCCCCAGCCTCCCTTTTCTTCCAGGCCTGGAGGGCTTTACACTGGAGGTTTTGCCTGATTGAGAATAGATACCAAGCCGGGTGTGGTGGCGCATGCCTTTAATCCCAGCAATTGGGAGGCAGAGGCAGGCGGATCTCTGTGAGTTCAAGGCCAGCCTGGTCTACATAGTGAGTTCCAGGACAGCTGGGGCTACAGGGAGACCCTGTCTCAAAAACAAAAAAAATAAAAAAAACCAGGATACCAAAGAGCTGGGTTTTTAATACAGGACACCTGGGTCTTTTATCTTTAAAGTACCTTCAGGACTGAGGCTGCAGCTCGGGTGGGTGAGTGCTTGCTTAGCATGTACCAAGCCCTGGGTTTCATCTGTAGCACAACATAAAAACTAGGTTGTATAATCTCAGCCCTTGGGAGGTGCAGGCAGGAGGATCTGAAATTCAAGGTCGTCATCTGCTGTATAATGAGCCTGCCTGGACTACATGAGACTCTGTCTGGGGAGCGAGGAGGGAGTACATCATAACCTTCAATGATAAGCCATAAGCCTGGGAAGGATTATCCCTTCTTCCAGTTCAGTGGAACTCTTCCAAACCACCCTCACCTGCATCCTCCCTAAGGCACTGGGCGTTGACTCTTCAGACCCATTCTGCTCTTCTCAATAGCATTTCCCCATATCTGGCAGGTCAGGTGCAAGCACGGGTGAGCACCTGTTGCCTGTTGCCTGGACGGCCTGGCCTTCCCGTCCGTTGCTATCTGCAGCTGAGTCTGTGAACTTAGTGTCCTAGAGAGTTCTGACACCAACTCCGATGTTCCCTTTTCTCTCTCAGCCGACTCAGCCACATCTCTTCCTCGGGAAGTGGTTAACACCACGAGCTTTGGAACTAGACCAGGTGGCATGACTCCTATTCACAGGCTCTGTGGCTGTGGGAAGGATAGTGGGTTGTTGTTTCCCAAAGTGATGTGATGAGGTTTAACCCCAGTATCTCAGACTGTGGTCCTGTTTGGAAATGGGTTGCTTTAGAGGTGACCCACTGAGACAAGGGTAGACCTCTAACCTGGTAGGACTAGTGTCCTTAAAGATGACGGCGGGAAGACTAGACGCTGGGAGGGTGTCTCATAAAGATGAAGGCAGAGGTTGGAAATCAGACACAACTCCAAGCTGAGAGTGCCAAGGATTGCCATCTGTCAGCAGAAACTGGGACACCGGAGGGGACATGATTCTCCGTCAACTCAGAGGGACCCACCCTGCTGACACCCTGACTGCAGTTTCCCAGCCTCTGGACCTGTGAGAGGAGAAATTTCTGTTGTTTGAAGCCACTCAGTTCTAGGAAAATCATGCCAGGAAGTTCGTTGAGGTTTCTGGGCTCCTCGGTCTTAATCTGTGGAATTATCTCACACACCCTGTGTTGTGTGGTCTGTGTGTGAGAAAGAGATAATGGCAGCTTCGGCTTTCTCATTTTATCCTTGAAAAAGCCAGGCCAATCCAGCTGACCTGTTCACCCCCTTTGCTTCTTCCTTTAGCTGAGTGAGGAGCTGGACCAGGTGGTTGAGAACTCAGAGCAGGCTGAGGAGGGTCAGGACAAGCAATCAGTCCAAAGTCCAGGTGCCTTGCCAGGTAAGTGGGTTCAGGGCACTGGAATTTGCTTGTGTGCTGCTGTCCAGGCACCCTGCCAGCTGTGGCAGTGGAAGCCTCCTCTCCTCCACACCTTGTACCCTGGTGTCAGGTCTCAAGGACTGCCCCAGTTCTAAAGTTCTACATAATTCATCAGTCTCGGGCTGGAGGGTGTGCCTAGTGCAAGGTCTGCAATTTTTGATGGTGTGCTTTGAGGCAGCTCCTGAGGTCAGGACGTCAGGTAAACGGTACATGCTGGAGTCTCTGTTCTTCCGTTCCTTCTTCCCTGGGTAGATGCTGGCCAGTGAGTCTAGTATCCAGCCACTTGCAGAGCCTGCTGGGAGAACTCACATCAGGCCTCCCCAGCACTGCTGCCTGGTGGGCAGTCTCATCTAGGCCCCTCTGCAGTCTCTGCTCTTCCGTTCCTTCTTCCCTGGGTAGATGCTGGCCAGTGAGTCTAGTATCCACCCACTTGCAGTCTCTGTTCATGCTTAAGGCTCACTTTCTCCTTAGCCCAGTGGTTCCTACAGACACGCCACTCACAGGTCCTTCGTGTTAGCTGCCTGGGGATAGTGCTCCCTTCTTTCCACCGAAAGACTTTCGTGCTTTAGTTCTCATTTTGGAATTCTCTTCCCTTTTTCTAAAAAGACTTATTTTTAAAATTTTGATTTATGCGTATGTGTGTGTGCCTGTGGGGAGTGTATGCCACGTGTGTGCAGGTACCCAGGAAGACCGGAAGAAGGTGTTGGATCCCCTGGAGCTGGAGTTACAAGCGGTTGTGAGCTGCCTGTTGTGGGTGCTGGGAATTGAACTCTCGTCCTCTGCAAGTGCAGCCAGTTCTCTTAACCACTCAGCCATCTCTGCAGCCTCCTCTTAAAAAAATCAGGAGCTGGAGAGGTGGCTCAGCACTTAAGAGCACTGGCTGCCCTTGCAGAGGACCCAAGTTTGATGCCCAGCACCCACATGGCAGCTAACTGTCTATAACTCCAGTTATAAAGCTCTAACTCCCTCTTCTGGCCTCCACGGGCAGCACATGCAGGTAGTATAGTCATACACATAATACATTTTTTTAAATTAAAAATGATTTATTGTGCTACGGGTGTATGATGTGGATGTGTAGAGTGGGTGTGCATGTCACTGCACATTTGTGGACGCTAGAGGACAGCTGTGGAGTCAGCTCTCTCCTTCTGTCTTTTGTGTGGTATGAATTCCCGGGATTGAACTCAGGTTGCAGGCTTGTGAGGCTCCTGTACTGGCTGAGCCACCTCTCCCTCTTGTCACCTCCTTAATTCCCACACTCTCAGCTGACCTCATCCTCCAACCTGTCCCTGTCACCTGTGCCCTCTCCCTACAGTCCTGCAGTGTTGGTGTGTTGCTTTGTCTCCCTGAGGTGTCTGTCTTCCACAGCGAAGCCCTTGAGGGCAGACACGCAGGTTTTGTTCACCCCCTTAGTCCTGGCTAGTCAGTAAGAATTGGGCCAGTGAGTGAGTAAATGGGCAGAGCCCCAGCCTGGTTCCAGCTTTTGGGGGAATGGGGAGGTGGGATGGGGATGAATCCCACACGTGTCTGCCTGTTGCTCCTAGGAGACTGTGGGAGGGAGGGAGGTGGAGAGGCCACTAGTGTTTCCTGGCTGCACTGCCATTCAAGGCTCGGCCATACCCAGTACCACATTTAATTCCTGTTAGAGCTGTGAGGGGACCCTCATTGCATAGATGCACCCCAGTTAGTACAGCACTTAGTACAGCAGTAAGCACAGCACATGGAAGAGCTCTGACTCACTCAAACTCCACCTACTGGACTAGTAGCCTTTTTTTTTTCCTTTTGGTCTTTTTGAGACAGAGTCTCCCTGTAGCCCTAGCTGGCCTGGAACTCACTGTGTAGACCAGGCTGGACTTGAACTCACAGAGATCCACTTGCCTCTGCCTCCCAAGTGCTGGGATTAAAGGCGTGGGCCACCAAGCCCAGCAGCCTTTTTTAAAAAAAACATTTATTTGCATGTGAGGAGGTGGGAGGACAGCTGGGGAGAGCTGGTTCTCCACTTACACCGTGGGAGTTTGGGGGTTTGAACTCGGCTGTCAGGTTTGGTAGCAAGTGTCTTTTTTTTTTCAACCCGCCTTGCTGTGCAGTAGACCCTCAGAACTTATCCCCCAGTCTGCTGGTCTTTGAACCTGCTGACCAACCAACCTCCCATGCTCCTCTCCCCTGCTCTAGTAACCGCCGTTCTTCCTCTTCTGAGGTCAGCTGTTCTAGAGCCCACATGAGTGAGCTCATGTGTTGCCTTCTGGGCCCGTGTCACCTAACACAGTGGTCCAGCCATGTTGCCACAATGAAAGGATTCAAGAACCTTTTAAAAAAATTTTTTTTATTAATTATTTTTATT